ATGGTCCATCAAAAGCATGGCACTACTTCATTTCTACTAGAATTTTTCCTTCTACTAATTTGAGCGAGGTGACAAAAGAATAAGCCAGTTTAAATTTTTGTATTCAAAAGATGAAACCAATTTATATTGGTGTATTAACTTATAAGACGATCTTCAGTGCTTCTAAGGGAGGGACTACAACTGGACTAGGATACCTCTCCTCTATTTTCTCTCTGTGCAAGCTTCCTGGAGTTAGTTTTGAGACATGCAAAGAATTATTACATCCACTGAAGCCTATCAGTAAGGCTAATCTAAAATTATTTGAGAAGCATGCTATACTGGAAATGGGAGCTTGATCTTCTGATGTCCCATCTTCCTCTAACCTCTCGACTTCTCATGCTTCTACTCATCCTCTAGCTACTTTAGATTCTATTTCTGATCATTTGGTAAAGTTGGAGGATGATAATGTTTTTATGCAAGAGAAGATGTCTGAAACTATGGATTTTTTAGAAAATTTGGATACGCAGAATAAACAACACAGTGAATATGAATCGGGATTCCATGGGTCGTTGATAGAGGTACTTAGAAGGAACAATATGTTGGGAGGTGATGATCCAGTACAGTTTCCTCCATATCCACAATATCAGACACATGAGCGGCGCAAACCAATGGAGGAATATGAGGATGTTGAGGAGTAGATGTTATTTTTATATATATTATAGTGATTATCTTTTCTTATGTTGTAGTAGTTACTTCCTTATGTACTCTGCTGATGTTATATTTTTGTACTAGATTGTTTCATTTAACTGCACTATTAGTATGTTGTGATAGTTATAGTTTATTTTTATTTTGCAACTCCATGATTACACAGTTGAGTTGGGATGTATTTTTTTTATGTATGTACGCTTTATTAGTTTTATCTGCACTGTTTCTGTTAAATGTAGGTATTTTTTCTTTTACCCTATATGTTCCTGGAATTTAGTTCTATATATGTTTTAAAAAAAATTAACTTATTGGAGGAAAGAAAAATTTTTAAAAGTTAAACTTTATTTATCCTCAAAAAATTTACTTATTAAATTAAAAGTATTTTTAAATAATTTGAGGATAGTGGTGTTACCTTTAAGGTTCTATAATTTTAATTTTAAAAATCTTATAAAAAAATTTAGAGAGATTTTAGAAAAAGAAGATTTTTATAAAGTTAAGATATTTAGTAGGAAATTTTAGGAAAATGATTTTCTATTACTAAAAATAAATTGTATTTTTGAATAGCAGAAAAAATTCCTAGAACTAAACTACATATAAATTTTACCTCTATTAAACTTTTTTTTTAAAACTAATACCAACTCTTTTCAAGTATGAGAAAGTGGTCTATTTTTAACTTTAAGAGAAAGATAGTGAAATTCAAAATCATTAAAGGCTGATCCAGATATAATAATCTTCCCTTGAAAAAAAAGAGAAAAGAAATTATGAAAATGATCCTTAAAGAAAAGAAAAGAATAATCGAAAGAAAAGAAAAATTTTAAAAAAATGAAAAGTGAGGAGAAGCTTGAAAAGTGAGGAGAAGCTTGAGGGGATGCCTAATTAAAAATTGGTTTCACTTAATTTTTTTTAAGAAAAAAAACTTAATTACAATCTTAGCTTGTTGTTTTTCTATAAATAGTATTGGTTAAAACCTTACTGAAAGAGGTGTAAAATGAAACTTTAAAGTTTTCTAAGAATTCTAAGTTTAACAAATTACAATTTCATTCTAAGTCAATCGAAAATCAGGTTTCCTAGGTTGAACACTAAATATTCTGACACTGTAGTTCTAGTCCTATTCACTAAAATTTCTTCTAGATTGCACTATGGCATTTTTGAAGCAAAATTATAGGATACCTAAAGAGACACATTACCTCAAATCAATAATTTAAATTTTAAAATTATAGTATTACTTGAGGACAAGTAATGTTTAAATTTGGATTTTTTATGTCTTTTAAACGTGTTAAAATTACTTTTACATTTTATACTTAATTTTAATGATATTGCACTTTAATGAAAGATATTTACATGTTTTTGTTGTACGTAAAGTAGGTTAATCATTTGGAGCGAACTGAAGCGAAAATAGAGCAAATAAAGCTAAGGAAGTTGACCTGAACAGGCGCCTAGGCGCCATTATATGGCGCCATGGCTCCAACTTCCTGCACCTAAGCGTCGAAGCCCTTGGTGAAGACAGAAGATGTGGTGGCTAGGCGCCACATCTTGTCGCATAGGAGAAAACTATTCCTCCAGCAAACAGAGAAGGTGGCGCCGAGGTGCCAGCTTATAATTTTAGCCGAGAAAAGAAGTGGCTCTTAGGCGCCACAATGGGGTGCCTAGGTGCCAGAACTGCCCAGAGCAGTTTCTCTGTAGTTAAAGCATGATTTCAAGTCATTTTTCAAGGGGTTCTTCATTAGAGACATTGAGAGGAACATTTGGAGAGTTCAAGGAAGCTCTAATGCGCATGAGATTGAGGGTGAGTGAGAGATTTCTTTGTATTTTCTGCATTTTCTGAGTGACATTTGAGAGATATTATAAGGAGAGTGTAAGATCTGCAGAGTAAATTCAGAAGTCCCTTTGTGGTGGATTGTCTTTGCTGATTTCAGTGAAGGAGATTCATTTTTATTTGCACATTGTTTTGTTCTAAGTAGATTTTAGCTTGTAAGGCTTTGATATATTATAAAGCAATGTTGTTCTTGTGTTTACTCCATGAAATGTGAGTAATATCCTTACTTCCTTTCTTTTGTAATGGATTAATGGCATGTATATGGTTCAAATTAAAGTAGAATCTAATCATTTTATTGAATGTAATGGAATTTCACATGTACTTCATTTACTTTACAAATTGGTCATTTGTGATATTAAAATTTGTTGTGAACCCATAAGATCCAGGAGGGCTATGGCTTCCAACAGCTAGTGGGTACTACATTAACCTTTAGGGTGAAGGAAAAGTAATCCTGTAGTGAGTGCAAATAAATAGGGAGATAATTTTAGCGAGGATAACTAGAGGGTTTCTAGGGTGACAGGCGGAAAGTAGTTCTAAGTTAACATAGGTTCTTTATGCATTTGGAAAAGGGAAAAGAATGGATATGCACCTATTTGTCACAGATTTTACTTAGGGATTTTGTTTTAATTGAACCTACAATAGCTACTAGTCTCATTACAAAAGGAGGTAAACTCTAGATAACTTGAATTTTCAACTTACTTTAGCTTAGTGTGATTTGGCTGAACCTTTTTAGCATAATTTAGCTTAGTTAAATTAGCTGATTAGATCACTTATAAATTTAGTAGTAGATTAGTCAAATTATTAGCTCACCATTACTAAAACCAATTTCCTAGCTAGCGCTTTCTAGATTCAGTTAAGGCCTAGATCAAGTCCGTCAAATTTGTAAAATTCCCTATGGGTTCGATACTCGAGACATAAAGAAAGTGTTATATTACTTGAGTGATATATCTACTTGCTTTTTTAACTGGTGTAAAGTGTGTAGGAGTGAAAAACTTAGAGATTTAATTTATAAAATATATTTTTAAAATTTTAATATTTAATCCTAAATCACCAGGTATACTATAGCGTAAATAGCGGTCATCATCCTAACCAAGGGTTAGGGACTTAGAACCACCCAAATGAGTCTTCAATTCGCCTAGGGAGTAGCGATGGACTCCAAGGTTAAGATAGGCCAATTTAGGTAAATGGAACGTTTTGAGTGTGTTAGGGAATTTGGGGATTTCAAAGATGTCCCAAGACCAAACCACCCAGGCTACCCTAAGGCCAACTGATTTTATAGGAACTCACTCTTGGGTCTCCACATGGTCTTAACCATCTTAAGTGACAAATAAGGGCTCGTGGCCACCCTTCACAAGAAGAGTCAAGAAGTGTTTCAAATTTCTATGGGGGTAGGGTCCATCACTATTCCTTTAGGATAGTAAACATAAAAATCTTATGGCTAGATCCTAGGCTTCTAAAGAAGAGAATTAGACCACATCACAAATGAGGTCAACATTGCTAAACTTATCCAAGAACCTAAAATATTTTATCAAATGGCTTATATTGATACCCTTAATTATAAAATATTTTTTAGTATTTAAGTCGTCTAATGACTTTAAACTTGAGTTTATCTTATGCTTTGTTCAATTTCTCACATTAAGATACTTCTTTTGATTACTGTCACAAAGTTTTCAAGTGTGCTTAAAGTGTTTGATTTTTGCTTATTTGGACTTGGATTGGGTGGGTTGAAGTGATTTTCATGTTGTTGGGCTTGTCTCATCAAATTATTTGTGTTAACTGTAATTTTGTTAAAACTTAAAATTTGGATGATCTTGAAATTATTCTTAAAATATTTCATTCAAATAAGGCTTTGAGATTTATGCTTGATCAAGTAAATTTCTTGATGATTTTTTCATTTACCTCTCATATTTTGGACAATAGAATTATTGACATCCAAAAATATTCCAAGTTTTATTTTAATTGTGATAATCAATTATAATATATATATATATATATTATAATTGATTATCACAATTAAAATAAACATACTTTGAACTCTATTGGACCACTATTTGGGATCATAAACTAAAAATTCTCTTAATTATAATCTCATCAATTCTTATGATTCGCGCAACAATTAAAATGAAGAATATTAATAAAGATTTTGAATTTATTTGACAGACAATATAAATACTTTGTTAAGATCCAAAAGTACCAAAATATAACAAATAAAATGTTTTAATTCATTTGTGAAGGCTCGATGATGTTGGGCAGGACTACCCTAACTTAAAGAAACACTGGAGATCCCCATCAGTGGCAGGAACCAATCCTCGCAAACGACTTCTTGGTCAGATGAGCTGCTTCATATTACTAAGTTGGCCAACATTCGACGAAATCACGTACCAAAGATGATGAAGCATCTAAGATCTGTGAGATTATTACGTGCGGAATTCGCATGCATGAAGACTTCATATCTAATATTGTCTTAAGGTACAATAATCCAACGCATAAATCACAGAAATCACACAAGCGATTTATATGCATAAAATATAACAAGAGTTACAACCAAACCAGTTAATAAAAGAAATTTTAACGTCCATAAATACATGATCTTCTCGTCATGGAGGAAAACATCTAAAACTCCACTATCAACACGTGACGAGACCCCAATCATACATTTATAATCAAACAAATGCAATGCATACAGAACATGATTAACCTTTCAAACACCTTACAATGAAAAAATTTATCATAATTTGTCCCCATTAAACATACAAGTGATTTCTCCAACTAAGGCTGAAAACTGTCAGGAATGTTCAGAGCTTCCTGCAAGTGCTTCACAGCATTATCGTAGTACAAAAATCCCATGAACCAGAACTCATGGTTATCGACTGATACAATCTGGATATACTTTTCTGATGGATTTATACTGCTAGTTGAAGGATTGACTGATCTCAGTTGGCGCAGAGGAATAACCACCTGTTTTAAATCCAAAATAATTGTCAACAATAGTTCTAGAAAAGATGTTTAGTGTTACTGTATGATATCATTAAGAAGGATTGAAGGCATTTTGCTCTTGTCAATTCTCACGCCAAACATCATCATATTTGATCTCTCCATATTATAATGACACCGTCAAAACATCATACAATATTATTTTTACTTGATTGCTTAATAGTCTACCAAGAAATGGCAATTGCTTACTTCTGGCCTCTCCATTATTAATCATTTTCAGAAGTTTTCGACTATGTAATCATCCTCCCAAGAGACCAAAATTTTATTTTTATTTCCTCATCTCTATCCAAATTTGACAGCCACGCAGCTAGTTTGGCAAAACACTATCATTTATATTTTCTCAGCTCTACCAATGATTGCCATCCTTTTCTTTTAGAGAAAATTCACTCTAACCTTTGAGATTTTAGAATTGTCGTTACTCACCTAGGATTCAGCTATTCCATCGTATTCACTGATAATTATTCAAAAATTACTCAAATTTATTTGCTCAAATGTTGCTCAATGGCCATTCATGTATCTCAAAAATTTTGCCAAAAGATGCAATTTTGGTTCTCATTAAAAAAAAATATTTATGCAATAACAATACTTTTGAATTTATGCAGTTTAGTTTCTCGCCAGCTTTGCCAATAATATTATTCATCAATTTTTTTTATTTGAATGCATCTCAACAAAATAATGTTATCGAACATAAAAATTGGCATCTTGATATAACAAAAATATTGATTTTTCACATGAATGTCCTATGTTATTTCTGGAGAGCTGTCTTGATAGCTTTTTGTCCTATCACCTATATTTCCTCTTATTCTCAATATTAACACATAACTATTTATCCATGTCAATATATTTTTCTTTTACATCAAGGATATTTAGTTGTAACAGATTTTTTCATGATTTTCACGCACATGTCAAACTTGTTCTTCATGCTACTTTGAATATCTTTTTGGGAAATTTCGTATAAAAAATGACTAGCAGTTTTATGATCCCCTTCCTCGATAAAAATACACTTCAACAAATATAATCTTCAATGATAATACATGATTCATTTCTCCTTTCTCTTCCTCTGAGACAACCTTACCACATGTTTCTCTATCTCCAAAAGCACTAATACCTATCTTTATCCCTCTAAATATCTTCTCTCCATGAACTCTACCCTTTCCATAGCAACATTTCTAACCACATCATTAGATCTAACTAAGCATCCACCAACAAATGAGCTTTCTTTGCAACATTTACTGATTTCACTACAAAAGTATAAGATAACTTAGGGCCCGTTTGGGGCAGCATATAAGTGCGGCGGCATTTTTGAAAACGTCGCCTAACCGTTTAGTTTGCGCGTTTTTGAAAACGTTGTCTGCCGCGTTTGGGTATTTTACACTAAACGCAGGCCGCGGGTCAACCCCTGCGATCTACCTGCGGGTCGCGTTTCAGGATAAACTGTTTATCCTGAAAGGCACAAGCTGCTCCAAACAGACTCTTATTGCTCTTCCCATTTATTCTATATGCCATTCAATCATTTATCAGTTTCATTTTGTATATTATCAAGCATTTTAGTGACACTATAGCTCACTATATGATCATTAGGCATACATCATCAAACTCTATTATATTAGCATATTTGTATTTATGCATCATTATAATCTCATTAGGCATACATCATCAAGCCCGATCATTCTAACTATTTATATTGATGTAGCTTGCTATAAACGATCATAACATCTCTAAAGTAAAACATTACTTGCAAAAGTGCTTCGGCCAAAGTAAATCCAACTGAAATAAGAGAAAATATTTGGCAAAATATTTGGCCAATCCTCCTGTTCGAACACAAGTAACAGCTCTAGTATACATATCTTTAATGACTTGAATATAATTCATATCAACATCTCTGTTCTCTAGAACTCTACAAAGGACTTCTCTTGGAACCTTATCGTAAGCTTTTTCTAAATCAATAAAAATCATATGTAGATTCTCCTTATTCTCTTTTTACTCCTCCATCAAACTTCTTAATAAATGTATAGCTTCCATAGTAGACCTGCCCGGCATAAATCCAAACAGAGTTTGAGAAATCTTTGTATCACGTCTTAATCTATGTTCAAATAACGTCTCCCATAATTTTAAAGTATGGCACATCAACATCATTCCTCTACAATTTGAACACTCTTGTGCATTCCCTTTATCCTTAAAAATGGGGACCAAAATACTCTTCCTCCACACCTCAGAGTTCTTAGTTTTTAAAATAATATTAAAGAGTTTAGTAAAACAAAAACTCTCAAATCTTCTAAATATTTTCACACTTCAATTAGGATATCATCAGGTCCTACAGATTTGCTACCATTAATTTTCTTTAAAGCCTCCTCAACTTCTTTTTTATTAATGCAACGGTAAAACTAAAATATTTTATTATTATTAACGATGGTAAGATCACTAAGGTCAATTGTAATTTCAAAAACTGCATTGAGAAGTAAGATCACTAAGGTCAATTGTAATTTCAAAAACTGCATTGAGAAGTTTATTAAAATAGCTTACTCACCCAGTTGAACATTTTCATCTAAGAAAAACACCTTTTGATTTTCATCATTAATAAACTTTACTTGAATTACATCTTAACTTTTCTTCTTTAATTGAAGAAAAAAATAAATAAATAATGATCCCAAACAGCCCCTAAAAATTGCGTTAGAAGAATAAAATTAAAAAAAAGAAGAATAAACAAAAAGGTCAACAAAGTAAAAACCATGAAAGCAACGATTAAAATTAAAAGAAAAGGTTGCAGCTCACATGGATGCAACATCAAATCTAAAAACAGAAGGGGAGCAGGGGAATATCAATTAGGTTTCCCATACTATGATTCGAAGATCACAGTTCGATTGAATTATGGTAATAGACATTTCACTAAAACAAAAGGTTACACTTCAAATATAACCGTCCAGGCATCCGGCACTTTTGTTGCATTGACAAAAAGAGAAAAAAAAAATAAACATTTAAGCATCTCAATAACAATTACCATTTAGTTTCAAAAAGTATTTGATTACATCAATCCAGTTTGAGCAGTTGTAACAAATTAAAAGGAAAAAAATAAAGCCTTACCTTGTAGTAGCTCCATTCAGTTTTGTCACCAACAGTGTAAGAAAGGGGGTTATCGCTGCAAAATGCTATCTTAGCAGTAGAAAGATACAATGTTCCCATAATAGGGCCAGCTGAAGTTGACAAGAAACAAGCATATGCCCTTTTCAACTGTTCTTCAGGAAATACATCAAAAGTTTGTCGAAATATCTTCTCGTAACCACCTTCAGCAATTATTTTGGTCCCCTGAGCTATCCTTCCCATAGCAGCATCAGCAAAACTAGGTCCCGTTTTCACTGTTTGACAATTTTCTTTAGCATCAAGCACAAGACGAATATAAATTAAACATGACTTGGTAAATACCATTAAAATTGATAAATAATTAAGAACTCCATCAAGAACTGACATATCAAGATTTATCTACAAGTGCTATATACCAAAGTCTCTTAATTCTATTGAAAGATCAGCGGCTAAAGATGGAATTTTGTGAGAACAAACATGCTTAACATACATGAATAATAGATGTGATTTTATTTTAATTTTTGTTATATGTGATTTTTATTTGCACGTCACTCTAAGCATACTATTTTACCAGCATAACAAGCACATCTATACATTACTGGTATGTCACCTTAATCCATACCTTCTTATTGACATGCCACAGTCAATTCTTATTATCATATAGATGAGTTAACTATAGTCGTGCATCTAGACATGGGCATAAGCTCCCAATTAACTTAATGATCAAATCTAATCAATGATTGTTGGATCTGGAAAGATCTAAGGCTCATAAGATTAAGTTCCCAAACCAACCAGTCCAATTGTAATTGCGTGTTGGGTTTGATTTTTGAGTTAACTTATGGAAAGGATTACTTTAGATATCAATTTAAGGATTAGTCGTCTAAATTAAATGAAAATTCATTTCATGTTAACTTATGATGATGGTATCTTTGCAAGAATAAATAAATTATGGTGACAAATTTGTAATATTAAGTTTTCGGAAGTAGTATAACAGTAAAATCACAAGTTCTCACAGCAAATATCTAATAGTCCCAGATACAAGAGTGATGGAAATTACGGACAAACCAACCTTTACCTTCTATTTCTTCCATTTCTTCTCCGATGAAATTTTCTATAAAAAGATTAGCTGTCCAAATAGTGAAATCACATTTTCTAGACAAATTTCCACCACGCAAGCCATCCCAAAGCAAATTTTGGTTGCACAGAGCATTCTAAGTCAATTGCCCTCAGTTAGAAAAAGCTGCAGTCCATCCTTACAGCAGACGGGAAAACAAATGAGAGAGGGCGATGTTAAGGGGAGAGAGAGGGAAGGTGATGAGAGGGAGAAGACGGTGAGATGCGAAAAAGAGAAAGACAGTAATCTCAAATTTTAATATCGGAATTTGAAATTTTCTGATTTCATTGCATCAAATGGTACTTATTAAAATTATAAAAAGAGAATTGAATCCTAACTAATTATAAGAATCACAGAGAAGGAATCTTCTTAACATTTTCAAAGCACGGTACAGCCACCCACCCAACCACCGCCCACTACACACATTACAAGTCACGTAAGATGATAACACACATTACAATTAATGTAATAAAAAAAGTAAACATCTCTCATTACTTAGTAAAATTTTTTAATAGCTAAAAGTTAAATCATTGGTACATAGAAAGTATTTAAAATTTATCTATCAGCTTTTCTAAATCTTAGTCATTTATATTTATTGATGCACGACAAAAGACCTGGAGGGAAAAGTAACTTGGTTGCTCTAAAATTATCATAATCTCTCTCCTCTCTCTCTCTCTCTCACACACACACACACACACATACACACACAGTCAGTCAATATATATATATAAACTCTTAATTTCCAATGTTGCTCTTGACACTCAATTTCAACTATGATGGCAAAGAAAAGAGGCAATACTACACCACATTTTGTAAATGGAGCTAACATTTGAAGATCCTTGCAATTGTTGTTCACTACTAAATAAACATAAAGACTTTGGTTGAGCTCCTAACAAAATGCTCCGGAAAGACCATCTTTGTTGTGTTGAAAGTTGAAACGTAAAAAAAAAAAGAGTTTAAAATAGAAGTGTAGTGCACCTAGGAGTGAATAAAAACTATACTAGAGAGATGATAAGTGAAGTATGCTATCTATAGAAAATAAATTTAAATGGCCTGATTCTGTATAATAAAGGGTTGAAGTTTCACCAAAATGAGTATGCCAAAACTAACGTTATTACAAGTGCATAAAAACTTAACATAAATGGAACAAACCTCAAAACACTAAGAAGAATAAATAAAGAGAATTTATAAAACCAACTAAAAATAATTGGGATAATGTTTAATAGTGGCAAATATCATCTAAAGAAATCATATCATTTGAATGTTTCTATGACAAAAGTAAAACAAGGAAAAAAACTGAAAAGATGCCTCCACAATTGAAAAAAGCAGAACATAAGATAGCTATCACCTATTTGACATATGGTGGAACCCACCAGGCAAAATTCCAGACTCATTTCATCAGTTTAGAAAAATTATGAACAATTAGTGTACTTGCTGGTTGCTTATTGGTGTAACTTTAAAATTCAAAATTTAGATTGAAAAAGGTTAAAGACATTTTCTCCTTTCATACAGAGTGTTTAATGCTTTTGATTCTAGCCCTCAATTAAAATATGAACAAAACGGTAACCATTTGTTTTTGGCATTTTACGAACATCTGACTTGGAATCAAGAATGAGAGACAAAGTTTCCTCTCAAAATCATGTTTTACAATGACTAACCATAGTGTGTACTCATACAACTATAGTACATCAAAACTAATCATCAAACAGCAATGATTTCTACTATACCTTCGACATAATAAGAGCGCAACCTAATACTTGAAGTTTACGTTTGTGTGGAGTTTAAAAAAAAGTTGATGTCCAGCACTCTAAGCCTAAATTCATAAATTTAAAATGTACCAGCTGCAAAACATGCCATATGTTAGAAGGGTGGAACATCATAGGCATTTTTCCCAATACAATAATAGATGGAAACCTATCAACCTAAGAGATTCGACCATTTTTTTAAGATGTGTGACTGATCTCCACACTTACATGGATCTTAACGATCCCCCATTTAGATAAGAGTCTCTTACATTGACCATTACTTTCTGTCAGATGAAAAATTGTGAACAAAATTAGGTATTAAACAATAAGATTCCATTCAATTATGTGTAATATGTGTGTGAATCACCCATTACTGAACCTTCCTCAATTGAAATTAAAGAAACTTAGAACCCTGTGTGACACAGGCTGCATTAAAAACTTGTCATTGTCTCAAATAACAGTTATTAAAAGGCACAAATTGAGCCACCATACATCAATAGATGAAAACCCATCAATATGAAGTTTAAACTAATGGGTAAGGGTTTTTAGTAATATATTAAGACCAAAACTTATGTTTTACTTCCATTTATTATTGCTTATCACAACTTCAATATGGATCTTAACACTAGCACTCTTGTCGCAATTAGGCTAAATTGCTTGTTTAAAACAGGAGAATTCTAGGATGTTGAAATCAGCTAAATGACTATTTCATGACAATGAAGTCCCGCAGAAGCATTCCATTGGAAAAGCATAGAGAAAATATAAATTAACAAGTCAATAGCACCAATAACAACCCCTAATTGATTTTAGGGCATGATCTGAACAATTCTTTGTTAGTCCTTGTCAATCTCTTTTCCATGCTCCCAAAATCTTGCACTTTCAGGTGTCTAATAAAAGCTTTTACCTACAGCTAGTGCCATCAATTAGTGTTTGATTCATAACCTAAGGAAAAGCTCTTCTTAACAAAAATGTATCATTGACATCCCCACCAAATCCAAGGAAAGATTTGGTTTTGGGTAGTGTTTGCAGGCTAAACTAATATATATGCACTTGAAAAACAATAATACATATTTTAATAACTGATATTTCAATCATTCTATATAGGAAGAAGCGTGACACAACGCTCTTAGAGAATAACTTTAATCATACCTCTTGAATGAGTGTACCAACCATAATCATCATCGATATTAGTCTTACCTCGACTATTTAGGATTTATGAATACTTGTTTTCCATTTACCAATCTTATTATTACATCAGAGAGTGAACTTATTGTACAAAAATCTTTTTAGCGCAAAAACCTACTACCCTCAATGAATCTCCTCTTGCTAAATTTGAAACATTTTAGCTTTATATTTTATTGGTGCAATTTTATCTTTCATTGCATATGCACAAATCTTCTAAGGGCTTGTTTGTCTGCAAGAGGTTACAAACATTCTTTAATACAGTGAATTTATTATATTCCACCATTTGGTTGGACATAGCTATCAATAAATATTAGCTTTAAACTGGAAAAAACTTCATTATCATACATAAAATAAAGAAAGAAAATGAAATCATCAATTCCTAAAACATGCTTTCCATCTATAAGCAACCGAACAAATACCAAGATAATTATTTTTATTAGTTTTCAACAGACAGACAATACTCAAAATATTCCTCCAACAAAATCATTCTTTAATCAGCCTTAATAATTTTTCCACTTATCCATCATAACGTGCTCACTTTTGCCACACACATCTTATCTAACAATATTTTTTTGGGGTGGAATTTACATACATACCACCCAATTCTTATGTATTAGCAAATCTAACACCTAAACTTTGCTTTTTTATGTTTATACCACCATTTTAACTTTTAAAAAGTGAAATACACCTTTTCATGCACAAATAAGATGGTATGTAAAAATTAAAGTTTAGGTGTCAGATATGTAAAACCATAAGACTTGAGTGCATGCATGTAAATCTTCCTATTTATTTTACCACCCAACACTTCAATATACACAATATAGTTAACAAATTATAATGTTATAAATTTAATTTTAAGTCTATGATATTCCTTCATCATAAACCACTCTTAAGGTACTTTTCTCTTTTCACCAACCATCCTTAACTCTACAAGTTAAATCCATATTATTTTGTATAATATATTATATATTGCTAAACTCATCACACAAAAGTATTATTTTATCATCAAATAATATCATAAGCTTAGTACTAACAGACCTACGAAAATTCATATCAAAACTCAAAAGAAAATTTTTTTTAAAAAAACTCTTACCTCATATGAAGGAATCTCACTACACTTAATAAGCACATATCATAATATTAATAATAGCTATATCTCATATTACCTTCCAAAATTTGACATTTTGCAATCTAAAAATTAATTATGTATTTGAATTCAAATTTTAATCTA